CACCGGGCCTGCTACCTCCCTCTGTGGTCCCTGGTGCCCCAGGAGGAGGTAGGAGGTGAGGGCAGTCTGGCCAGTGGCTTGAACTCCTGCCAGAGAAAGCGGCCTGGTTCCTTGCGGTGTCTGGGTGGCTGGGAAGACGAGGAAGGGATGGGAGGAAGTCCTTCCTGCAGCACCACCAGCAGCCCACAGGAACGCTGCAACTCCCCCACATGCCCCCGGCGACCCCTCCATCCACTCCCACTCGGCTGATGGCTTTTCCTTCTCTCCCCTACAGCTGGGCGCTCAGGACAGTCTTTCCACGGCAGGAGATGCTTTGGGGGCGTCCACCCCCTCCTCCGCCGCCGTTCTCCTGGGAACATGGCCTGCGCACCCTCAGAGCTCTTGCCTACCAGGACTAGACCGGAGCAGCCAGGCCGGGGTCCCTCCACCCTTGACCCTCAGACTCTGGACTGACTCAGAGAGGGCCGGAGGATGCCCCCCATGCTGCTGATATTTATCATGGGCCCTGGAGGCTCCCATCTGCTTGAGGGAGGCTGGCAAGCCCGGCTGAGGACCCTCCGCACCCCCAGGGGCTGTGCTCTCCTGCTCCCCTCCAAGACAACACCTGGGCCAGGGACCCAGAGGCCCATGGATGTGGAGAGTCGGGTGGGCACTGAGGAATGAAGAGCCCTCGAGCCCAGGGGACCTATCTGGTGCCAAGGGATGGATCCCTGCCCCAACGAGCAGGGACTTGTCTCAGAGAGAGATGCCTGAGATTGGCAGGGCGGGACGGCGTCGGCTGGGTTTCCTGGAAAGGTGTGTGGCCCAGAAGCCGGGAAGAGAAGGCCCGCGGGTCCACTCACTAAAGTGGCCTCTGCTGGTTGCCAGGCGGAGGGGGAGGCCAACCCTGCCCTCAGGACCTGCTTGGCTCATGATGCCAAGGTCAAGACCAAGTCTGGCCTCTGCCCCGCCACCCCTCCAACCCTGCCAGAGCTCCTCCAAGAGGCCGCGCAGAGGCTCCCCCCACGAAGGAAGCCATTGCACTGTGAAGACTGGAGCTGCCTGCTGTACAGCCTGCCTGGCCGTCCTGAATGCACATCTGTGCACATCTGTCCGTCTGCCCACCCTCCAGCCTCTCCCCAGCTTCTGCACTGAGCGCCCGAGCCGGCCTCGCCCGTCGACTGAGGGAGCCCCCGAGCCCTGACCTTCTGCTGATCCGGCCTCTGACTCCCTGGGGTGGATCGGGGTGGACAGAGAACTGCCTGGGCCGCCAGCCAGAGCAGGTCTTAGGCTGTTGTTGGCCCAGGTTTCTGCATTTTGCACTTTGATGTTCCCAAGAGGGAAGTGACTAGTGGGAGGGAGGAAGGGTAGGGTGGGCAGACACAGACACAGGGAGGGTTTTTGAAATTATGGGTATGCCCCTGAGGTTGGGGGAGGCGTCTGCACCCCTGACCCCTGTGTCGGACCCCTGCCACAGCCATAGCTGCAAGGCCGCTGCCTCAGGGCGCGGGGCCGAGTGGGCTGTCCATGTTAGGGGCCTGGTAGGCAGTGATACCTCCAGCTCTCACCCCCACCCACCTACCCAGGGTGGGAGAGGGACCAGGCATCTCTTTCCAAGTCTGCCTTGAGGGTCTCAGCTTCCTGGGCCAGCCCATGACTGCTGCTCCAGAGCTGGGCAGCAGGTGACAGGGCTGTCAATCGCCCTTGGTCCCTTTGTGCTGCTGTGTCCCTCCTCTCCTGCCATCCTGGGCCCTCCACTGAGAGACACACCCCCACCTGGCAGCTGGGCGGCGCCCACCACCTTCCCTCCCTGCCCTTGAAAGTGAAGGTCCCTGCCTCTCCTGCCACTGCTGACAGCTGAGGGAAGGAGCAGAGAACTTTCCCTGGGGGGCTCCTCCTCTAGTCATAGCCTCTATATTTGATGCTAGAAAGTATGTATTTAAAAGTGGAAGGAAAAACAAACAGAAAAAGGCATTCCTCCTCCACCACCCCCGCCCCCTGAAACCTATAGTATTTTCAAAGTCAAGAAAGCAAAGAGCTTCTGCAATGGCTGGATTTGCTCTCTTGACTCAGGAACAGGACGGCCCAGAGCCACCTCAGGGTGGCTCCCGGGGCCACCTGCCCAGGGCTGCCTGCACAGGAACCCCTTTTTCCCTGAGAAAGCTGAGAGGGAACATTGGCTCACACACTGTGAGATTTTGTTTTTACACTTGGAAGTGATGAATTATTTTATACAAAGTCATTTAAATATCTATTTAAAAAATAGGAAGCTGCTTATATATTTAATAATAAAAGAAGTGCACAAGCTGCCATGTGTGAGTCCCAGGAAAGTGGTTTTT